AATTCAATTAGAGATGGTTTGAGATAGTGTCCGATGATATTTTCAATCCAAAAGATAATTAAAAGTCACTAAGTCAATAAAAATACTTGCACACACTTACACAATAAATAGTAAACATATTAAAATTATTATATTTGAGTTGGGCTCATCATTTTAAATTAATAATTTTTTGAAAAAATGTATTAAATTAAATTATTTTGTATATAATAAATATATTAATTAATATTAATATATTATAATGGGGTTTTCGTGGCGGGTTCGAGTTCAGATCGTCACCCCTAATCCGATCCGTTTTTTATAGTATTGGGTTCGTATTAATTTGTATACATAATTAGATCCAAATTGTTAGAAATATTTTATGAAAACTCAAAAATTGTATTATTATTAATCATCAAAATAAGGTTCTATATATACGCACCATAAAACAAACTCGACTGGCTCTAAACAAAATAATCCAACATATGGATAAAATCAATTCGTAATCTAAACTTACCAAATTTTAAATAAACCAATCAAAACTAATCTAAATAAATATTAAATGAAATCTAAATCTAAAATATCTCAACACAAATATTTGACCCAAACCTAATTATTTTATGTTAAATTTGTGTCGAATGATCATATTGTATTAGTTTTTGCCAGCTCTAATTATTTCATTGCATATTTAGCTACGCCCTAACCTCGTTTGTTAGTACATGTTTCCTGTCATTCCAATCAGGCTTTTTTCTTATTAATTTTCACACTAGAATAGTAATTACATAACTTGTTATCCGCCATATGCTTCATTTAATTGTCTCAACTTTTCGCAACAACATAATAATTTTATCAATCTTCCCAACCGCCGTATGCTTCATTTAATTGTCTCGACTTTTCGCAACAACATAGTAATTTTATCAACCTTCCCAACCGCATGGACCCCATATTTATTATCCATCAACGATCAATTTCTTTCATGGAAAATTACGCCAACATAGTAATCTTATTACCTATTTTCTATCATCGGCTTCTTCGGTACGAGTTTTTGCCTCGGTTTCTTCTCACGATGTCGATGCCGCATTGGATGTCCGAGTGAAGGATGGAGTCATGGATCAGCTTAGCACTGTACGAGATTAAATTGTCATTAAACGTCAATTTGTATGCTTACATTATTTTTACTATACATTATATTTCTTTATAAATCATCGAAAGAACAAATAGTTTCACACACGGATGTATTTGTCTATATGTGTAGTATTATAGTTTTGAGTTTTTATTTTAATTAAAAAAAAAAAATCAATCTCAGATACGATAGACTTATTAATAAAAAAAAAAAATAGACTTAATTATCATATTTATAGCGCTTCAGAATGTGATTGGGGATTTATCACCACCAATCAACACCATACAAATACTATAAATAACATATAAAAATATAACTGATCATACATGTTGTATGAGGTATTAGTATGTGTTTTTGGGTATATTTTAGATATATGTATTGTAGATTTATTATCTGAGTATATATTAATGTGTTATCAGCACAGTGTATAATAATATATTTAATATACAACATATGTTATGGTATAACTCAACATATAATATCTTATAACATAATATATATTGTATCCTTTTATGTGATGTCAACACGTGATTTGCGCCCAATGGGCTTTGTAACCATCGCCTAACTATTTATAGATATAGAATATATCTTGGATGTAATAATTTTCCACAACAATGCCTTGATTTTGTACCTTCTTATTTTGGCAATACCAAAAAGTTGTGGAAACATACTAAATAAAAGTGATAATGCTCATAATAGAACATATATAGATCTATATTTTGCAATTTTATTGAACATATTATCTTTGTTTGGGGGATTAGATTTTAAATACACTATGCATTCATCCTATTTTTTCTCTCAAAAACATCAAATCAAACACCTATTTTTTATTTTTTATATTATGCTAAAAATCAATTTTACATTCAAAACATCACATCAACACCTACAACTATTCAAATTCAAAATTTTTACTATTCAAATCCCAACTCAAAATCCAAACTCCCAAACAAACACACCCTAGGAAGAAATGTATAAACTTTCATTTGAAACATCATGAAATTTTTTAATGAAAAATCATACTCCCTCCGTCCAGCTACAAAGTATGCATATTTCTATTTTGGGACGTCAAATTACAAAGTATTCATTTTATTGAATACCCACTTTTTTCCACAAATACCCTTACTTTACATCACATCATTACTTTCATACCAAAAGTAAGGGCAAAAATGTCATTACACTACTTTTACCTGCCCACTGTAATTAAAATACTATTATTTCTTAAACTTCGTGCTAAAAATAAATGTATACTTATTGTGCGGACGGAGGGAGTATTATATTGTTAAAATCCAAATTAAAACTTGAAAGAATGCATTAAAAAAAACAATGTCCATAAAAAATTTTCATACCTGAGAGGGACTTCAAAATCAAAATTTTTCTCCAGCATTTGATCAAGAAAGGTATTGGCAGTTAGCAGTACCTTCAAAGACAATATGAATCAAAAGCATATATATATATATATATATATATATTGCAAAAATTAGGATATGTAATTTGTGTATATATTTTAATATGCATTTGATAATAAATAAATAAATATATATATATATATTAAGAATGTAATTACATATTGAATGAAAATAATCTGAAAAATTTAGGCAGATTAACTCTCACTTTGTCAAATTTTTTTCAACTTTTTTACTAAGTAATCATTGTAATTTTCTATAAAAATACCATACAACATGACACTCAAACTACTGTTCAATGAAAATCGAACTCAATATATATATATATATAATACCATTAAGCCAATTATAAAAAATTTCAATATTTAAAACTATGAATTTTACTAAGAGAGTTCGAATTTAAATACATGAACTTGCACAAGTGGTTGTGTTTTTCTACACTATGCATTTATGGTGATTTATTTATTTTTTTCCTAAAAAATATTATATACTACATTTATTTTAATGTAATATATTAAGTATTTTATAATTTTGATGTTTATTCAAAATATCATATTATTTATTTCACGTCAAACATATTTCTGTTCAAATATATTATTATTTCTTAACACACAAAAAATATTGAAATAGGTCAAAATACAAGCAATTAAATAATGTGTTTCTTTTGGTTTTTTTTTTTATATATATTTTTAAAAAATTAATAAATTACACACATTCATTATTATTATATTAAATACACAATTCTCTGTACCTCAAGTAAAAAACTATCCCTTCAAATTATTTCATAAAACAAACTAAGTAATTTAGATTGAAATATATAAAATATATTTTTTTTATAATACCCTAGAGTTTTTTAAATTTTAAGTGAATATATATATATATATATATTAATCTAATCGTATCAATAAGTGTGTTTGTTTGGGGGGTTGGATATTAAATTCACTATTTATTCATTTTTTTTTTCTCCAAAAAATATCAAATCAAACACCTATTTTTCATTGTTTATATTATATTAAAAATTAATTTTATATTCAAAACATCACATCAACACCTATTTATATCACATCATACAACCATTCAACATCTATTTAGATTGTGTTTTTTTAGGGATTTGGATTTTGTTACATAATACATTTTAAAAGAATTCAAAAATTGAACTATGTATAAATTTTATTACATAATACATTTTAAAGTATAAAAAATATGCATAGAACTCCTGCTTTATGCATAAATAAAATGTTATTGGATTCTTTTAGCCAATAAAGTAATGAACTATGTAATAATATTTATATAAAATATTCATGTATTAGAATAAAATCTTCAAATAATACTGATATAATTTATCCTATAGTAAAAGGAATAGCCCACACTTTTCTTTGCATTTGCATGAATTACAAAAAAAATAAATATTTGTTATAAATATATATAAATGGCTTCAAATTTGTGTTGATTTGGTCAAGTCAGAATTATGACACTTATTTGATCGGATCAGCATATATTATAAGAATGACAAATATATATTTATACGTATCTTAATATATGTGTGTTATAATAATATATATATTATATTATAGATATGTATAATACATGTTGATCATTAATAAAGTATATGTTGATCCGGTCAAATCACCAGCACCTTATCCATGCCCATTATAAATATATAATAAAAAATATTAAAAGTAATAATAAAATGTTTTAAAATAAATAACTAAATAAAATATTTATTGTTTATATAAAAATAATCAATTTTTCTCATTTTTTTGCTTTCATCCAAGGTCCTTGAAACTTGGGAACAATAACGTATATATTACTAAATGCATCGTAATGTAGTTACAAAAAACAAAAAGTTAGATAATGAGGCATTTTTATATGATTATTTGCTTCTTCTTTTGGTTTTAGATTTTCTTTTTTTTTTTTTTTGTTTTGTTTCTAGTAATACGTAATACTCTCGCGGTTTCAAAAGAATTATTTTGTTTTTCTATTTTTGTCTGTCACAGAACAATTGTCATATTTTATTCTTTAGTAATTGTAGTCCCTATTTTACAACAAAATTATTCATATTTTTTTACAACTATCCGTGGTTATTACTAAAACTCTTCAAAAAGAAAGGTAATTTAGTATTTTACATTATACTTTATACCCACTTTCAATTAAATACTACTCCCTCCGTCCCATAACAAGGTATCCATTTACCTTTTGCGTCATTGTACTTAATATTAAAAATATCATTGTATTTGTATAATTTTTTATACACTAATAGAAATATTTTTGCAATTTTTCCTTGATTTGTAATACGTTTTGATATAATAATTAATATCTAAAGATCAACACGTAAAAAGTAAATGGATACTTAGTTATAAGACGGAAGGAGTATTATTCTTTAATTCTCATGCCGATTCCCAACAAAATATCCGTGCAAATTGAATAGTAAAAAAATAATAAATTAATGACATGTATTAATTCAAACACACAAGAGAGAAGAAAACACGAAAACATACTAGGATTTGTAGAAGTGAGAATTGCCGTGCCGGAGAAGTCGCAGTTGAAGTTATTGCGCCCGCTCGTTTGGTAATAAGAGTTCATTGCGAAGGACGCGTGCGCTTCCACGGTGTTGGGAATGAAGCATGCGCCGCCTTGTCGAATGGGCCGGCAATCGACTTGGGATTGACTACACGCATACTCTATGTTCTTCTGCAATGCGCCGTTGGAAGCTTCTCCCTTCGCCACACACCACATTTTACTTGATGTTGCGGCCGGCTGCTCATATATATATATACACACATACATACGTAATACGTGTTAGTATATGATCACTTGATTTTGACGGGATACACTATAAATTTGTTGTGTAGAAAATTTAGTTTGAGAGTTCCGAAGAATTTAATTAGTGTTTCGGATAGTATCATTTTGAAAAAATAAAAAAGTAAAAAGGTAACCGGTATTTGTAGTACTCTACTTCGATATAAACATTTATATCTAATGTCGAGTTCTTTTAGATGTGTTTTTCTGGATTTTGATTTAATTTTTTTATTGTACAATTATTGCGATTATTTTATGAAAATATATTATTTTATCTTATAAAATAACATATTCCGAATACTGTTAAAAAAAAAAAAAACTAAAATCAAACTTCAAGAAAATAACACCAATTTTATAGAATAATATATATATATATATATATATATACACAACTCCATGCAATCAATTATAATCGAATTTTAGGCATATAAAAAAATTATACATAAGGTGTTTATAATTTTACCCATACATATATTGTGCAGAGAAACACCCAAACAAACAAACACAACATTCATTCATCTATCGTTTGTTTGGAAGTTTGGATTTTCACTTGAAATTTAAATAGTAAAACTTTTAAATTGGAATAGTAATATGATATAATATAAATAGATATTGATGTGATATTTAATATAAAATTAATTTTTAGTACAATATAAAAAAAATTAAAAATAGATATTTGATTTGATATTTTTAATTTTTTTTTTTTTTATAAATAATAGAAATAGTGAAAAGTTTGCCAAAAGAACACATATCTCTACTGTTTTTCTTTCTTTTCTTTTCTTATTTTTTGTCTATTATAAAAAAACATGTCATTTCCATTTATTAAAAACAATTACATAATTTTTAATTTATAAATTTAATCAATTTTACATTTATTTATATATTTATTTTATCTAAAAATATTCAACCTATTAAAAATCTTCCAATAATATTGTAAATGTGTATTTTTCAATCACAATTAATTCAAGAGGTTTGAACTTATATAATACCCTCTTCCCGTCCCACTTATCGTGTCCATCTTTCAATTTTTATGTATATCACTTATCCTGTCACTTCCTTTTCTGGACAAGAATTATATCATTTAATCTCAATTTAAAATTTAAAATTTTAATTATACTAATTAGTTATCTTAATTAATTTAAAATTAATTTTATTATACAATAATTATTTTTACTAATATATTCTTAATTATTTGCTAATTATACCTTCCTAAAATTTTGTGTTTATAGTAAATGAAACACCGAAACGGGGAGAGTATTTTATATAATATTTTATTAGAAAAGAATAATATATATATATTGTCACAAAATATGAAATTCAAATAATAAAAATTTGTGTTGAAATTTATTGTTTTTTTTTTTCACCTAAAATCATATCATTATTTTTTTACCCTAAACTTAGACTTATTTCATTCATAATAGATAATGTTATCTACCTATAATTTTATTACTCTTACTTTAATAAATATTAATCAATTTATCATTAATTTTTTAATTTCCCCACAACCTTTTTATTAATACCTAAATGAATTTTTCATAATATTTTTATTTTACTTTTTATTTATCCCATTTTAATATTAAATATATTATCATTATTATTATTATTATTATTATTATTATTATTATTATTATTATTATATTTAATATTCATATACAACCTAAATTACATAATTTTTCCAAAAAGAGAGCGTATTATTTTTTAAAACGAGTAGAATGAACCTCACTAAGTTGAGTTTTTTTTTTTTTTTTTTTTTTTATTTGAGTTTTTGAAATATTAAAAAATAATAAAAATTAAGTTTTTGATGTGATATAATATAAAAATTTAATGCTCTCTTCATCTATGGTGGGTAAGTTTCTGATTTGACTTTTGCATGCGAAACGAAAGTAAATTAGTATTTAGAGTAGTGTAATATTTATTTTACTCTTGACATTAAAATTAAAAAAAATGTAAAAAATAGAATGTATATATATTTTGATATTTAATTGATACTTATTTTTATTTTTTAAAAAAAAATTGACTAAAATAACAAAATGAAAAATTTACTCTTGGATGGACGGAAAGGGTATAATATTTTTAAAATAATATTATAAATAAATAGTACTCTTTCCTTCCTATTGAAATATTGTTATTTTCTATTTTCGTCCATCCCAAAACAAGATTATTATTTCATATTTTAATAATTATACTACCTAACGTGATAAAAAAAAATATCCTTCCAATTTACAATATTACATAAATGTCATTACTTTTATATTATATTATATTATTTGTGTCTATTTTACTACAATCCAATATAATATTAATATTAAAAAATTTAGCCGTAAAAGGTAAACCGCAACTTCAATTGACGGAGAGAGTATAAAAACTTATTTATAAATATATATAAACAGAACCTAAAAGCTATGTTTAGATAAATATTTTTAATAAGTTTTGGTACTAGATCATCTATACTATTTTTTAAAAAAATATTATATTAAATATTTATATATATATAAAAAAAAAAAAACATTACGCTAATACTCTTCACTTTTTTTTTTTTTCAAATTTTTTCTAAAAACTTAAAAATTCAAAAGACATATATCTAATAGGGTTTATGATAATTACTTGTGGTAATATAATATGTTAGAATTATGCCAACAACTAGTACTAAATTAATTCATAACAATTTAAAATGCAATACTATAAAAAGCAACCACTTTTTGATCTTAATCAATGTACTATAAAGCATATAATGAAAAAAACAAGATAAAAAATACAAACAAACACATCCTTATTATTATCATCCGAAATCAACGTAGGAAATGAAATTAAAAGACTCCAAGTAAGAATCCTTACCTTGATCATCATAGGAGCTGCAAATCCTGTCCTAAGGATCCCAATGTCGTATACCGGACTAAAATTTGGCTGAAAAAGCCCGAAATTTCGCTCCGCCGCCGATCCCGGTTTCTCGTTCTCGTTAAACAACGCGAAAATATACGTCTCGAAGCTCCGCCGGGGCATCAATGGTGTCCCTTTTCCTGACTCGTACTTTTTGACGAGCCCGCCGTTGTACGCCGCGGCGTTAGCCACCGAGCACTTGGGCTCCTCGTAGGACTCCCCTAGCGACGCCCACCCGGTCTCGCCGATCGCAATTTCGACGTCGGGAAACCCGAGTTTCGTCATCGACGAGTAGACGGCGTCAAGCTGCATGTCTAGCATGTTGTCGTAAATTTGTTTCGTGAACGGGTCGACGAAGCCTCGGTTCGGCCGGAATAGGGCTAGGCCCGCCTTATCCGGGCCGTACCCGAAGAACGGGTACGGGTTGACGGTGAACGGCGACTTCGTGTCAAGGTGGAATTGTAGCATCGGCGCGAGCACCGCCCGGTCCCACCCGGCGCGGAACGCCGTCGCGCTCGGGATCTCATTCGGTTCGAGGATCCCGAGGGAGTGCGCGGTCGTGATTTTGATCATCTCCATCGATTCCTGGCGGAGCGCTCTGTGGAGCGCCCGCATGGCGGGGACGAGGTTGTCGATGAGGGTTTGCGGGCCCCAGTGGAGGATCTCGTTGCCGACGAGGACGTAATTTATTTTTGTTCGGGCGTAGAACGGCTTGACATTGGCGGCGAGCCAACGGCGGGCCCCGCGGACGGTGGTGAGGTTCGGGATCTCGTTGTTTCGGACGGTGACGGCGACGAGTATATCGGTACCGGCGAATGCGTGGAGGATGTCGGGGTTGGTGTCGAAGATTTTGATCCGGTCAACGGTGGTTTTGGATTTGAGGAAAGCGGCGACTTGGGCGGGGGGAGGAAGGTTGTTGCCTAGGGTACCGTAGTTGACGCCGATCGAATTAACAGTGGTCATGGCAGCGGCGAGGAGAAGGAGAAGGGCCGGTGCGGCGGCGGCGGCGGCGCCGCCGTGAGAAAAGGAGACGGCCATTTATGGAATTGAAGTTTGTTTAGGGAATTTGGGGGAAATGTGAGATGAAATTTTTTGTGTATTGGAAGCGAAGATACTAATGGTTTTCGAAACTTTTGACAACTGAAAATATGGACATCCTCAAAGATTGAGGGTAGCTATTTTTTGGATATTTTGGGCATTTATTTGAGAAATCTCGTGTTGATTATAACATTTTTATTATATAATGAATATGTAAATGTTCAAAATATAAATTAATTTACTTCTATTAAGATTTTGAAAAATCATATACTCCTTCAGTTCCATAAGAAGATACTATTTTTCATTTTTGTCAGTCCCAAAATAAGAATATCATTTTCAGTAATTGTACTATCTACCTACATAATTAATACCTTTACAATTTCCAATATTTCATACAAATGTCATTATTTTTATATCACACAATCTAATAGAGACATTCTTGTTATTTTCAATATAAATTAATATAATACTAATATTAAAAAATGTATGTACAAAACGTAAACGTATCCCTCTTCTTCTTAGACAGAGCTAGTATGATTTATTATTATATAATATATCAATTATATGATTAAGTTTAATTTAAATATTGGCAATATGTTCAAACCCATAGTTTTTTATTTTTAATATTATATTAAAAATTAATTTTACGATAGAGACAAACACAGTTCAACTCGCTCAAACTATTTTTCAGTACTATACTAAAAATTAATTTTAATATAAAGACAATCAGTATTCAACTCATTAAGGTCAATTTCAGACTCAAGCACAGCTGACAAAGCTTGAACTAGACTTGAATTTTATTCAAGTTATATAGTATTATATAATAAACATAAAAATTAAATAAATCTAAATCTATTCACAATTTATAGTCGTCATATTCTATTTTCGTCCATCTCAAAATTAAGTTATTATTTCCTAATTTAATAATTGTACTACCTACCTAATATAATAAATACCTTTCAATTTACACTATATTATACAAATGCCATTACTTTTATATTACACAATACTAATAAGAATATTTTCGTCTTTTTTACTACAACCCATTATAATATTAATATTAAAAAATCCACGTGCAAAAAGTAAATACCAACCGTGCCCCGAAACGGAGAGAGTAATAAAGTATTCAAGTCTCATTAATAATGTAAATTTTGAAATAAAAACTAATATATATATTATATTAATATATAGAAAATAATACAAATATACAATTATTAACTAATTCAATCAAGCTACTAGTTTTACGGAAATAATAATTGTTTGAACTCAACTCGTTTATCTCTATAAGTCAGAACTGAGTTATCGAACCAAGTTGAACTCGGCTCGCAGGCTAAAACCGCGACCCCAAAAAAATACACTCTTAACTGTTTTATAAATTAGTACATCTTCATGTGATGCAACTACATTTCAAATATATCTAAAGATTTATTTATCTTATTGGCGAAATATATCCTAGATATTTGCAAAAGTTGGCAGTGAATTAAATAAAAGACACAATTGGATATACACGAAGATATTTATTAATATAAATTTCCCCTTAAGGCTGGGACATATAAAAAAAGTTCTTGGGCTAAATTAACACAAAAAGTTCATGAAAAGAATCAAGAACCAATCGTAACCATCATTATAGCAAAAATCTGAGTAAAAGCAATGGCAAGTAAGGAGTACCTTTCAGCACGACCAAAACCACATCGACAATCAAAAAGATGTATAGATTCTAAAAGGATCATCGTTAAAGGGTGCAGATTCCAAAAAGTAATCAACGATTCATCACAATTTCAAATACCCTCTCAATAAATGGTAGAATCTATGTCAAAGCAGAGAGACAAGGGGCAGAAGGAAAATAAAAATGAAAAAATGCAAACCAGGGCACATGATTTTTCATATGGCCATCATATCACCATACTGCCGCATTAAGACAATGGAGCCAGCAAAAAGCCCGAGTGCACGAAGTAGTTTCTGCAGTAAGCGGAAATGAAAGATCGATCAAGTATGAGCAAATAAAATAGGCTAACTCAAAGCACCAAACTACATCTTTTAACTCACTCCAAGAATCCTTTTTTGAATGGGGTTTCAAAATCGATATTCATCACCATTTTTTTTCCCTCCAAAACCATAAAATTAAACGTTTTTCACTATAAATCTTAAATCCCCGACAAACACTAATACCTTTAACACTTATCATCCAATTTAGGTGAACACAAAGAATTCCCCTATATTTCTTAGGGATATTGTTATCTCTACTCTATGCTCAATATCAAGGTTTAGAGGTCTAAAACTTTATCTACTGTGAAGTTGCAGATTGAAATCAGGAAAGACGTATCCTTGCGGATGAAGAAACTTGTGGGGTTGCTTTTACTTGCATCGATGATGTGTTTCAAAATGCAATGTTATCGTTTGATGTCACATCTACTAATTTCTGATTATCCACCTCAACTACGAATTATCGTTTTCCTGCTGATATCCCAAATTCAACTATATGTTCAACGATATCAGTGTACATATAGCAGAGATGCCAAATCACCACACATCCTAACCTCTGCAGCCATACGTAAAGCCCAAAGAAAATCAGATGCAAATCAAAGTAACAATCAGAAAACAATAATCAATAATTGTGACCGAAAGAATTCAAGAATACAAAGAGCAGAGCAGATGGGTAACAAGAAGCAGCAATTGAACAAAATAAAGGGCAAGTACCATATTGAGATCCCATTTCTCAGGATCATGGACCTGAGAGTGCCAAAAAGCTTTCATGTTCTCCACTGAGATCACTTTGTCCGCCATTGAAATTTCTCCCCCCTTTTGTATGTCCTTATGCTTCAGACAAAACAATAGTGTTTAATTAATTAGGGCTTTGGTTTGGAAGTGGATCAGCGAGTAACAGAAATCACCCGAAACAAAAACACTCCAGAACATAAACTTCTGGCCAAAGCACCTCAAAAAAATATATATCGATGTTAGTATGATGAAATAACATGATCATTCTAAGTTTTAATTTTTATATTCAATCATTCTTCAAGAACATAGGAGTTCAGTAACCAATCAATTCTTATAAATACCTTTGGAGAAAACAAATCGTTAGGGCTTTTTAAATGGAGAACTAAAATCAAATTCAACACACAAAACAGATCAACTTCAACTCAAAAGCAGCAAATGTAAAAGCAAGTGAGACTAAATTTAATACACTCTGTCCATCTCAAGGAAACTAATGAGTAATGAGGTTCCCTTAGTACATATAGAATCATTATCTACAGAAAATAACTCGATTGGCTATTTGGCCATAGAAAAACAACTCAATCCATAAATTCATTTTGCAAATACACCCCACGGCGCAATACAAATCGTAATTACTGCAGTTTAGAGAAAACGCCACTTACAGAACAACATATATACTCTGCTTCGCAACAAGTAACTTCACTTCGGAGGAACACAAAACCATTAATAGCACAAATTAAGAAATTATCAGTCATAACGATTAATGTTAAGTTCCTCAACGCTCCTTAACCAATAGCACCAAAAAAAAAAACCCTACCATTGTGAAGCTCAAGTTCTGTTAAGCTACAATTTAGAAATTTCACAAACACGGCCGAATACAAACGAACCAACTAATTGCACCAAAGAAGACGAAATCAAGCTCAAACCAGTTGACAAATTCACATGTATCGTCGAATTAAATGAACGACCTAACTGCAAGCAAAATCAATATCAACGAAGACGAAAACAAGCTCAAACTGGATCGGAGGAGATTACCAATGCTGACCAGCGAATTCTTCCAACAGACGTCCGAAACCTAAAAATGAAACCCAAAACCTTTTTCATATATATATGATTAGGATTCTAGTGGGCTGGCCCAATAAACAATTTGGGCCGTTTTTTGGTCTATTTAGTTGCCGGTTCGGTTAGGTTATTGATGCTCTATTTTTTGAATTTGTTTGATTTTTTATTTGAAATTAGTTCGATTTTGTTTAAATATTATTTTAATGTAAAATTTGTTTGTTTATTATTTTAATGTAAGATATCTTTTATATCAAAAATTACTTTTGCAACATAAAAAATAATATTTCTCTGGTCCACCTCGTAAATATATTTTGTCATTTTTAATGTTCAAACAAAAATATTTATTTTTCTTTAATAAGTTTGGCTCCACTAAGCGGCGGAGCCAAGATGTTCAGCTCGACTGAGTGTAATGCTATATGTAGAAAAACTCAATTTTTGTCTTGATAGATTTATCAAATTTTATTTAGGGAAAAAATCAATTTTAGTTTCAATATAATCAAAATTTATCAATTTTAATTTCAATATAAAAAACTCATCAATTTTGGTCTCAATATAACCAAAATTTATCAATTTTGGTCCCAATATAAAAAACTCATCAATTTTAGTCCCAATATAAACAATTTCAATCAATTTTGGTCCAATTATAACAATTTTAATCAATTTTGGTCCTACCGTTAAAAAAATAATGGAAATTGCTGACATAGACATGACCGAGGTGACGTGGCAGTTGACCTGGAAAGTATACGACCATATACAATTATACGCGGCCATGTTGTTACATGGCCATGTATATTTCAGTGTATAATTATACAGGGTCATGTTGTTACATGACTATGTACAATTATACACGGTCATGTTGTTACATGATCATGTATATTTCAGTGTATAATTATACATGGTCATGTTGTTACACAGCCATTTACAATTTTACAAGGTCATGTTGTTACATGACTATGTATATTTCAATGTATAATTATACATGACCATGTTGTTACACGACCATGTATAATTTTACACGGCCGTATACATTTCTGTTTCGGTCTAAAATTTTAATTAAATTTTAAGGGTACATAAGAAATAACAGAAATTAAAATAAAAAAGCTTTTTCCAAAACGCTGGGTGAATTAACTTTTCAGAAATTAACTTTTCAGAAATTAACTTTTTGGGTCCAAAAAACTATTTCAAAAACTAATTTCCCAAACACCTAAATTAGCTTTTTGATTGGTCAAACAGCTAAAAGCTGTTCAAGAATCTAAAAGCTCTTAAAAAAAAACTCTTTCTCGAACACCATCAAAATCAATTTCTTTATAACTCCCAACTATTAATTTTTTTTTCCATTAACTCTCTATTCTAAATTACTAATTTATTTCACTCTTATTATTATTAAAAAGACTTAAATACCCATATCATGTCAAAAGAATTATATGCCCCTAGATTCCAAATCTTAAACAAACAAACAAAAGAAAAAAAAAATGTTCCACCATTCTCACCTAGCATAACCCGCACGTACTGGGTCGCAGGTTTGCATAAAGTTTTTGCTAAACATTCGTAGATCGGTTTTTCTCTCGTCAATTGGGTATTCTTTACACTTGAAATTGTAAATTATTTGTATATTTTATACTCTTTATTTGATTTTTTTATAAGAGATTTAAGGTTAATATATTCTAATACATTGTTGATATTTTTTTATAGCAATATAATAATGTATAAAAAGAATGACGACAAGAAAATCATCGTAATTCCAATAAAACAATGAAAAAAGTGTGTAAGGGGGTTGCAGTGACCAGGCCCGGGTGACTGTAAACATCTTTGGTTTCCGTTGAAAACAAGTATTTTTTTACCTGAGATAAACTTTTCTTGCAGACACATAGAAACATACTATGTTTCCGCAAGGTCGCGGAAACACAATACAATAAATTTTAAAAACATTTTTAGTTACAATAGAATACAATTGTACCTATATAAGCGAAAAGTTCTACCTATATAAAAATCAAATTGCACTTGGTCCTCGCTAGTCTTCTACCTGTACTACAAGACTTTTCCTTCAATAAGGAGCAGATATCTCCTAAATTACAAGAAAAATCCTGAACAATACAAAGCCATTTTTCATGCCAAATGTAAATAATATATGTAAATGTAAATATTATAATTGTATATATATATAAGTGTTGTTTGTAAATATTAGTAAAATATAAATGTAAATAAATATCTATTCGTAAAAAATATTTATAAATACTGTATAGACAATTATATATTTTAATGTATACACAAATGTATATATATGTTGTAACCTTCTCGAAAAAATAGTCGCGGAAGAGTGTATCTACAATAAAAGACAGTTGTACCTACACAAGTTAAATTTTTTACCTACATAGGAATCATGTTGCACTTGGCCATCGCTAGGTTTGTACATGTACTAGAAAAAAGTTGTATCTCGATATTAAATTCGAAATTTTTGGATTTTGTCACCATATTCGGATGTAACCATACGTATTGCTAGATCAACTCTCATGGACAAGCTGATGCCAGACCATTCGAAGTTGAATATAAGTCAAATGGATTTAGTAGATTACTCGTGTCAACAATGTGAACTTTTCTTTTTGGGAGTCCTACATTTGGGCAAGGGGCCCCACCCCACCCCACCCCACCCCTTAATTAATTTTTATTATTTATAGAATTTTTAAATTTTTTGTAGTAAAGAAATATTAAAATTTTGCTATATAAATTTTGTTGTACTAAAAATTATTTATTTGTTTATTTATTATAAAAATATCAAAGTACGGTATTTTAGTATTTGGTATATCGGTATATACAAATAATTCAATATATTGATATTAGAATTATTATTTTAAATTTTAGTATTTGGGTATGAAATTGTATACATCGATATTGTACCAAAATTTATGTACGATTTTAATATATACATTTATCATATTGATTTTTTGGTATATCAAATTTTCAAAAAAAAAGTTAGCCCCCTCCTCTATTCGAGTTCTGGTTCCGCCTCTGCGCGTGAGTAAGGACAAAAGCGTGCTGAAAACACTTGTGTTGACCTGTGGGGCTAGTTTACAACATCCCGACACGCACGGCTTTGCGTGGCTTGCGGGTCGGGGTGCCACATGTATACTCAACAAGGAGCACCTATCTCCAAAATTATAAGAAAAATTCTTTAAAATACAATGCTATTTTTCATGAAAAATATAAATGTATATGTAAAATATAAATATTATAATTTTATATATAAATGTATATGTAAGTGTTATTTATAAATGTTAGTCAAATATAAATATAAATATATGTAAATAAATATCTATTTGTAAAAACTATTTATAAATATTGTGTCTACGTCATATATCAATTGTATATATAAATGTATATATGTATTGTAACTATCTCGAAAAAATAGCACCCAAAAAAATATGCTTACAATAGAAGATATTATACCTACACAAGCTCGAAATTGTACGTACATAGGAATCATGTTGCATTTGGCCCTCGCTAGGCTTGTATTTGTACTTTGAGATCAAATTCGATAATTTTTTGTTTTTCCACTGTATCAGATGCAACCGTACGTATACTTTAACAAGAAGCACATATCCTACAAATTACTAGAAAAATATCTTGACAATGCAACATCCTTTTTCATGCCAAGTATATATGTATATGTAAATATAAAAATTGTAATTGTATATAAATATTGTTTATAAATATTAATTAAGTATAAATGTAAATATAAATGTAAATAAAAATCTATTGCTAAAAATTATTTATAAATATTGTATGTACAATATATATATATATTAATGTATACATAAATATATATATGTTGTAACTGCCTAAAAAAAATGATACGCGGAAAATTGCACCTACAATAGAAGACAGTTATACCTGCACAAGCTCAAAATTGTACCTGCATAGGCTACTAGAAGAAACTTGTACTTCAAGATAAAAATGATGTTTTTGGGTTCCAATGTATTCGGATGTGACTGTACATATACTTTAAGAAGGAGCATATATCTCATAAATTACAAAAAAAAAAAACTTCGACAATATAATGTCCTTTTTCACGTCAAGTGTAAATTATATGTAAATATAAAAATTTTAATTGTATATAAATGTATATTTTGTTGTTTATAAATATCAGTCAAGTATAAATATAAATATTTATGTAAAAATATCTATTCATGAAAGATGTTTATAAGTATTGTATATACAATTATATATTAATGTATACATAAATTCAAGAAAAATCATCAACAATATAACGTCATTTTTCATGTTAAATGTGCCTTAACAATCCCTAAACCTACTTTCATCTCCACCTTTCATGTGGAACACAAGAAAAAATATTTTGAACATGTATATTGATCGAGCACTATAAGGTAGTAAAATCGATTTAAAAAATGGTATGCAGAAGGTTGTACCTACAATAGAAGGTAATTATACCTATACAAACTCAAAGTTGTACATACACAGGAATAAAATTGTACTTGAGCATTCCAAATCTGGTACCTGGAGTTGAAAAATACCTGTTTTTAGCGGAAACACAACATGTCTCCACGAGCTCGCGAGATCCTACGTGCTCGAGATGTTATTTTTGACGAGAAGGTCTTGTATAAGGACAAGTCAAGTGCCGAAGGTAGGAAAAATTACAGATCATTGAGTTGGATATTTCCAACATGAGCCTGAGCAGTTAAGCTCAAAATAATTGGAGTACGGCTAATGAGGTCAAACCACCTACCCCCGTTGCAGAAAATATTGAGATCCCGATAGAAGTTGACCTGAACAAAACGATAACACTAAGATGATCCATGAGACAAGATCGTACGCCGGAGAGGTACTAACCTACTATTTATTATTTACTTTTGATTGACAATGACAAACTAGAATGTTATGCAAATGCAC